CTAATAGTTTGGTTTGGGAGTTGGAAGACCTGGTCTATAAATAAGCAGAAGACGATTAAACGTTCTATGTTTTGTCATTTTAAAATATGAAGGTGATGAAGACTGTCCATGTTTTATTTGTTTGGAGGTCAGAAATAGAAATATAATTATATAATTATCTTCTAATGTGCACCTGACAACTTTCTCTAAAGTAATTAAAAGTGTTTCTATCTATGATAGCTCCAGAATCGTAAAGGGAAATTCTCAGGTTGTGCAAAGAATGATAGCCTAAAAATCAAGGTATTGTTATCCCTGAGATACTGCCCTTTAAAATAACTGATTGTTTTACCTAAATCATCAGTAGGCTGATTTAATCTCATTTCTGACCCCAAAATGCAAAGATATTGGAAGTGTCCTAGTAACCGTGGAGGAAGACTTGACGTTTAGTGGCCCAGGGAAGAAAGTTATGAATTTCTGGATATCAAAAATTAAGTATTACTTCTGATCTCAGTGGCCCTGTACATAGGTCCTTCAGAACCTCTCAGGTTTCCTTAAGCTTACCTCTTCTTCTCACTGGGGAAATGGAATAAATGATGCTGATGAAGACTTAAAGGGCTAAATCACTGAAAAGCACTCCGACCAAGCTGCAGGAGCGCACGTGGAAAAGTGAAGTCTTTGTTGTCTCATCACCATGTTCTTTTAATAGAGATCTAAAGACAGGACTGTTTTCCCTCTCAGAAAGCTGGCATTTATTGTTTCTTTTTGTTCCTTAAATGCCTAACTTGATACTGTCATGTCAAGACTGAGAGGAGAATGTCAAATAGCCACTGTTACCTGCTTTTTCATCTTTCTCCCATTACCCTCTTCTTTCTTATGACTGCTACATTTGTTACCTTTGGCATCAAAACATGCTTATTGCTCATGAACTCTCAGGAAAAAAAATCAACACACTTAAAAATGAGAGAACACACACCCTCTCATCCTCTTTCCAGGTCTATTTTTTTTTTTTTTTTGAGTGGAGGGGAACGTGAGACTGTAAGTTTGGAGAAATGTGTTAGATTTTGAAAGTCTCAGTTTATTTCTCCCTACTAGTATTATTTGCACCAAATGTGTGTGTGTGTGTGTGTGTGTGTGTGTATACATCTCAAACTTTGACACCTGAAAATCTTGTTGAAAACTCAAATTCCTAGGTTCTGCTCATAGAGATTTCTCTCCATTGTGAGAAACCTCCAGGAAACTGCATTTATGAATGCATCTCTAGAAAAATAGAAAATGCACTTTTTTAAACACACACACACACACACACACACATACACACACACAGTCATCATCTCTTTTACCCATTTGGCATTTTCCAGTTTCCCAAATGCTTGCACATACATATTCAGTTCAATGAGGTGGATGTTTGGAATGATTATCACCATTTTCAGCATAAGAAAGAGACTCAGAGTTTAGCAATGATCTTCCAAGGCTTCACTATACACCCACTTCTTGCCCATTTTTCTAGATTTCTCACCTTAGCTGACCTTTTTCTTTTTGGGTGTTGAACTGAAGAAGGCAAGGAGTCCCCAAAGCTGGCTAATGCCATCTGTGCCTGCCTGCCTTCAAGAACGAGACAAGTCTGGTAGCTAGGAAGGAAAATAACTTTATGGGTGGAATGTGAACATCTGCCTAATTGGTATACAGTGTTACCTTGGTTTTAAACGATGATCCCTTTGCCCCACCCAGATCCACTTTTGAAAACGTATTCACCTGTTCGGTTCTGTGTTGTTAAAATCCTGAGTTCTCTGTCCTAATTCAGCCACACTGAGCTGCAGGAGATGTGTGTTCCCCATACTGAGATCCCCTCTCTCAGGCACGTTGCTGTTTCACCCTCCTTCCAGCTGTCTGCCCCATAGACCCCTCTGCCTGTGTTATGCCTAGAGGCAGCCTGATAGGTCCAGACTCCCAGACACAGTGGGGTTGTTTAACATAATGCCTGGTCTAACCAACCTTACAAAACTCAATCCTCGCCCTGGGTTTGTCTCAGCGGTTAGAGCGTCGGCCTGCGGTCCAGAGAGACCCGGGTTCGGTTCCCGCTAAGGGCACGTACTTTGGTTGCAGTTTGTCCCCGGCCCTGGTTGGGCCCTGGTTGGTCGTGCGGGTGGCAGCCACTCGATGTGTCCCTTCACATCGATGTTTCTCTCTCTCTCTCCCTTCTTCTCTCTCCCTCCCACTCTATCTGTACAAAAAATGGAAAAATATCCTCGGGTGAGGATAAAAAAAATAATAACAAAACTCAATCCTCATTGCCTAAGTGCATTTCTGTTAGGTCCACAGGTTTGTGACCACATTCATTTTTAGTAGCTTCCAAGGCTTGCATTTTCCTTGCCCTCTCCTAGGGTGGTTCCAACATACACCTGTTTCTGCTTGGAAACCACCCACTTAATCTTTGGGCACTACCCTTGACACTTGGCCAGGTGTCTGCATTAGGGATATTTGAAGACAAGTTGAAGAAAGAGTGTAAATATAACTGATAGCCACTTCTATACCTTGGCACGGATGGACAGGTGATTACCCCTTTAACATTTCCAAAACCTTTCATGTTGCATTTTAACCTGGGTGACATTATCTCCTCTGCTGGGTTTTCTGTGACATCCAGCAGTCACCACAAGCAGTCCTGAAGACTGGATTGCACTCCAAGTAGACTACCCTTGTCTACAGTCACCTTCTCACCTTCCCTCCATTGTCCCTGTGCAGGGTACTCACTTGTTTTAGGGATTGAGCCTGTTTTGCAGCTTTCCAGATAGAACCAAGAAACCTGGGTTCAAAGGAAGCAAAAACACTTATCCTGTTCCAAAATGAGCTAAAGGTGGAGCCCAATCTGAAAGCCCAAGAGGCTGTTACTTTCTTCAGTGTCCACTGCTTTCCTAACTAACGGGAGAATTCTGTCTGCCTGGATGATTGGAGAGAGGGTGGATTGCCTTCTCTCAGCTTCGAAACCCTTAACCCCTTTTTTGCACACTCAGGGTCTGCCAACCCGCTTATGGTAGGTTTTCTCTTGGGGGAGGGACTGGACAGAGCAAACCCAAGCTGCAGTTTCCTTGCTCTGCCTGAGAATTTCTCATCCAAACCTCAATCACGTAGGATTGCGTAGAGAGGAGAAAAGGGGAGAGACAGAAGACAGAGAAGGTGGAGAGGGGTGACAGGAAGGAGTAGAAGGGAGTCTGGGAGCAGAGGGCCCAGGGGAGGGGGAGGAGGACCTGAGCGCCGGGCTCTTCCTGCACTCCAGGAGCCTGGCCCCCACCTGGCCCCACCTGGGCGCTCTGGAGCTCTCCCGAGGGTGGGCTAGCAGCGGCTGAACACTCCCACCGCCACCTGCTCTTGGTCCCACAACCGTCTTGGCAGCCGTCGTCCCTGCCTGGAGTTTCCTACAGAGCTAGCGCTCCAGCCCAGCGAGCAGAGCCGGCTGGGAGGCGGTGACAGCACCCGGGAGCTGGTTCAGCTCCGCGCGCCCAGAGCCTCAGCCCATGAATGGGAATCCACCCTGAGAGCCCCCTCCCGGGCCTGGGTCGGCGACGGAGGTCACCCGGCTAGCCTGCGCTCTGAGCGGCCACCCCGCGCAAGTTGGGCGAGTTGGCAGCAACCCTCACCTGCCTCCCGGCCAGCGGGGCCCCGGAGTCTGCGTACCCCCCGGAAGACCCAGGGTGGACGCTCCGCCGCCTCCTGCAGTCGACCCGGACGGCCCAAGGGCCCTGCCTGCGCCCCCGGCGCCAGACCATGGTGGGCAGCTCCGCCGGGGAGCCGCAGCCACCTCCAGCCGACGTCGCCCGCAGCCAGCCCCCGCCCCACCCGAGCGGACACGCGGGTGTTCACAGCGCGCTGGTCACTTCCTTCCTCAGCCAGGATGGGCCGCGCGGGACTGAGTGATCGGCCTCGCGTCCGCGGGTAATCCCCACCTGATCTGCTGCCTGTGAGCTATCGACTGCCGGGCACCCGAACCTGGGGGGCCGGGCAGCTCGGAGATGACCTGATCCCGGGCACACCAGGGCGCCCCCTCCTCCCTCCCTCCCTGGGAGCCTGTGCGGAGACAGCTCTGTGCTGCGGCCCGGGTGGACCATGGCGGGGAGCTCCAGTTAAAGGCTTGTGGGCGCCGAGCTGGAGAGGACACCTTCAGCATCGCTGCCTTTTGAGGGGGCTTATTTAAACTACTGAGTCATTCCAGATTTAGGATTCCCTAAATAATCACCAACTGTGCCAGTCTCGCTGCCAGAAAGCAAGCGGAAAGAGAAAGAGCACCTGCTCTCCGGACCCTGGTATCCCCTGCGCCCGCCTCCTAAGGGTTTTTCCCTGAGGGGTGCTTAGCCCTCGAGGATCTCCCTCCCTCCCTCCTTCCTTCCCAGCCCCTCATTCCCTCCCTCCTCCCTAGCCTTCTGCTCTCCTTGCAGTGCTGCTGGAGGGGAGTCTGCTCACCTCACCGCAGCTGGAAACAGCTGCCCCCACCTGAGCCCCTACCCAGACTCCGGCCAGCCGCTCCCACTTCGCGCCTCTCAGAATTTGAGAAAGGCAGCCGGTGTGATGCGATACATAGACCTCTCCCAGCCGGGAAGGACCTCCTAATTTCCAGAGCTGCGGGCCGCAGGGAGTTAAATTGCTGCCTTCCTATCCTCCTCTCTTGCGGTTGGTGGCTTGTTCTCTAAAGGAACGTTTTATTCACTTTTTAAGTATTTTCTACCAGGAGCAAGCTACTGTGCCTGGTTCAGACTCTGCTTTGTAAACGGGTTTTATATGATGCATGTGTAGATACACTTTGGACACCTTACAACGCTTGCGCCTCTCCAACAGGGCACGGCTTGTTTTGGACATCTTTGCTCCCCTTCCACTTGGTACTCCGAAGGCAGTGTGACCAAACTCCCCACTACCCCTTGGACGCTGATCGCCTAGGGGTGCAAGTTTGGGGTGTACGAGTCTAGTTAACAGGAAGGCCTGGGAGCACCCCACCCCCGCCACCAGCGGTTGGGGAAGTTTACATCTGGATTTTCACACATTTTGTCGCAGCTGCCCAGACTCTGACAAACCTTGTGGGCGCCGGGTTTTTGGAACTGCAGCCTTTTCAAATATTAGCACTGCCTCCCGCGCCTGCCCGGCCCCTCCTGGCCACGGAGGTCCTGCCCTTGCCCCAGCTGAGAGCTATCCGAGGGCTCAGTGGAGCCCGGGGCCTGTGGCCCTCGCTGAGCAGCTATGGCTGCGGCTATAGCCAGCTCCTTGATCCGGCAGAAGCGACAGGCGAGGGAGTCCAACAGCGACCGGGTGTCAGCCTCCAAGCGCCGTTCCAGCCCCAGCAAAGACGGGCGCTCCTTGTGCGAGAGGCACGTCCTCGGGGTATTCAGCAAAGTGCGCTTCTGCAGCGGCCGCAAGAGGCCAGTGAGGCGGAGACCAGGTTAGTAGAAGCTGGGACAGTGGGCTCCCCAGAGGCTGACACCCCTCTCCCCTTCTGCAAAACACCTGGGAGCACCCATGGAAGGGAACCAGGATCTCTTCTTCCATTGTGTCTCCCCTTTCTTAATTTTCAGACATCTCTCTTTCAGTCACCCTCTGTCAGTTAATAGCTTCTTGTCCCATATTTGGGAAAACACTTTATACCTTGATGTAACTATGGTTTGACTAAGATGATAGTTATGTGCATAGATGCTTCTGGTCTCATATAGCCTGTAGAGTCCTTGAGGACAGTGGTTGCCCCATTCCTTCTTGCTTTCTCCCACCTATACATTCATCGATCTGTACATCTGTCCATCCGTCCATCCATCCATCCAGTGCTCATATTACCTACTGAGGACCTAAATGTAAAAAACCCTTTCTCCCTATATCTGTCATAATATTTAGCATAGTTCTTGACACATTGTACACACTTAGTAGACACCAAATTTATATTTATTCTCTTTATCTAACTCTTCCTCCAGCAACACATGATATTACATCATTTAGATCTTCTATCAATTTCTCACCTCCTCATTTTCCCACATGCCCTTTCACTTCCTTTTACATAGACCTCCTTTTTCCGTGTTCTACCTCCAACTACTCTCATGGTTCCCAAGGGCTCTGCTCATTAACTTTTGTGTCCTGTTGCTCCCATCCTTTGTACACTCACAGTAACTTTTGGGACACCAAGGGAAAAACATATCTGCTGTTTGGTCTCAGGGAGGGTAAAGAAAACTTTAGACTTACTAGAGGTTTTCTTGGCATGGCCTTTCTGAAGCTGAGTCTCTTATTTGGCTCTTAATTCAAACGGCTGGTCTATAATGTGTGTCTGTTTACAAATGGAAATTGGATCCCTTGAGTTTCAGAGTGATTATTCCCAGCCCAAGCCAGGCCAGTGTCCCAGTTTGAGAGAATGAAAGCAGAATTGCCCAGGTCTGTGCTTCCACCAGCCTTTATTGATCCTCTGGGTGTGGCCGGCAGAGTCATTTGCAGTCTGCAGATATTCTGTCCTCACTGTGGAGGACTGAAAGGGAGATACTGCCTAGAAAAAAAGCGTGCATTCTGTGATTAGTTGACTAGTTTAGGTTGGTGTCTTTGCAACTCTGTGATGTTTTCCTGGGTTCCAGGCATGAGGCATATGGGCTAGGGTCATTAGGGTGAGGACAATGCTTGGAAAGTTTGGACAGTTGGGACTCACAATTAGTTTAGAAATTTGAGATTAAGTTTTGCGAAGAAGCCATCTCATCCCATTTTTCCATTGGGATTTCATGACATTATTTCCTTCCTAGTGGGCTCATTTTCTTATTTTTTTGAGGTTAATAAAATAGTAAACTTCAAGAGTAAACCAAAATCCTTATGATCTCAAGGCACTAGCTACTAAAATCTCTGTTATTTTGCATTCAATTAATAAGATCTGTTAATTTCATAAGGTGAAGATTTATGCAAAAAACTAGAATGATCTCTGCACAGTAAATAATTCACATTAGGGAGAAATACATTCCCTGGTGTTATGCAGTGATCATTTGGGGGCCATCTTCTCCCAGGGCTTATGTAGTCTACAAGGAACTTCAAGCTTCAGAATTCAATGTGACTCTTATGTTTCAGTCTCTGAAGTATGTTCTTGCACTCCAGTTAGGATAATTATATGATATTTGTGAACAGATCCTACTCAGCTTTTTCAGTTCAAAACAAGGTGATGAAAATGATAGGTGGGTTGTATTTATGAATGGATAAGATCAACTCACCTGATTTTTGTTGAAGCTGATTTCAGGTGAGCTGTTTGCATGGCTGCATTTTGCATAGTGAAATCTCTTCCTGTGGCTCTTTCCTTAGCATCTCATTAGAAAACAGAATTTGAGGGAATTGCGGAGTTTATTGTTTTCTTCACTGTTCATTTAATCTGCTCCGCTTTTTCATGAACTTAGTGTACACCTTGGCAGAGAGGATCCTGACCGGTGACTTCCTTTAGCTGAAGTGCCACAGTAATAATCTGGCAGAAGGGTGACAATACCTGTTAATACAGGCCCAGTGTAAGACCAACATGTATATATCCGTACACTAGGGACTTTAGTTTGCTGAAGCTGAGCTTAGAAGAATGGGGGTGTGGGGTTCTCAGAAGCTTTCTGGGAAGGGATAGTGTGCTATTATTATTACTAACAAAGCCAAACAATGAATCTGTTGATTTGCTCTCAGCAACCATGATTCACATAGCATGGCCTGAGCCTATTTATAAGGAGATAGCACTTGCTACATCTCTATTGCAGAGAGGATTATTACCCGGATTGGGAGGAAGTTGCTAAAAACCAAAAAGAAGAACTATATAAGGAATTATGTTTTATAAGCACTTTGATGTTATGTTCATTTACTATTTGAGTTATTCTTGAACTCATTAACCCTGCTAAGCCATATCCTGGTGAACTCCAAATTGAGTCAAAAATGGTAAAGTGGTCACGCTCCTTTAACCAGAACTTTCCAGAGAGTGAGGCTGAGACAGTAAAACTGAGAAGTATTGGACGGGAAAGGCAACAGTTGTACATCTGATTCAGATCCGACACTCTCAGTGTCTCTCTCAATTTTTTGTCTTAGATCACCAAGTTCTGACAGGTATGATATTGAAACTTTATAAACGCAGTGGGAGTACTGAAATTGCATGGTGAGGGTCTCAGATTTCAAAATTGTGAGACTGCAGAATGAAAATGTGAGAACTGGCAGGGTGGACCTCACATTCCAGTCACAGGGCCATGGTTCGCATCGGATACTTTGTGAATGTCGTCCCTGGAGCACAGTGTGATGGCTTACCCTGGGGTTGTGCAGCGAAACTCTGACATGGACAAGCAGTGCCAGAGTCAGAGGTGGGGGTTTATACAAGCTTACACAGCTATATTGTGGCAAAATTGGGACTAGAACTATATCAAATTGATTTTTCTTGCCTGTGCTCTTTGCAACACAACCCAGAGAAAAAGGAGTATGAAGAAGAACGAGGTGTCCTCTCTCAAAGGATGCAAATAATTTTGTGTATTTTTTATTTTTACCATTAGGGATTGTTATCATTATTATTTTTTAAAAATATTTTTATTGGATTTTAGAGAGGAAGGGAGAGAGAGAGAGAAACATCCATGTGAGAGTGAAACATCCATCAGCTGCCTCCTGCAAGCCCCCAACTGGGGATCGAGCCCTGACATGTGCCCTGATCAAGAATCCAATGAGCAACACCTTTCAGTGCAAGGGATGCTCAACCAGCGGAGCCATACAGGCCAGGGCATTATCATTATTATTTTGTAATTAGAATTAAAATAGGGCAGGATAGAGGAGGTAATGGTAGAAGGAGGCATAGGCAAAGTCAGGCAGTTGGATTCTAAAATGACCATCCTGTAGCTAGTGTGATTATAGAAGTAAATTCAATAGTGAAGAGATACATACAGCACAGACATAGTTAGCTCCTTAGGCATTGTGTGGGCTGTAGCTCTTTGGAAATGAAATTTTGAAGCCTTTAAACTGGCAAAGTTGGCTGAGGTCATTGATCCATAAAAAAGCCTTTAGAACATTTCTCTTTGTTCACTTTCTAATGAAGGAAGAAGCATTCTCATGGTCATTATTTGAGTTGTTATTTATGTGTGAAATACCTGTATGAGCCAAGCCTGCTAGAATATTTGCTTAAATGTTAATGTCACTTAATTTGCTGTATCTAGGCTATTAATACATCCATGTGAATTACAGGGCTTACTCATTTCCTACGTTTGTTATACTTTTGAATAAAATACCTGCATAAACGATTGACCTCAAAAGCATTTATGATTTGACTCAGAAATTGCTACAGGTAATGGATTGCACTCACAATCAAGAAGAGAAAGGTGTTTATAGCATCTTTGAATGTTGGAGTGGCCATGAACCTTGGAGGTCATCCAGTATCAGTCTTTCATTTTTCAAATTAGTGCCTTTCTAAAAAGTACAGAGTAACTAGATAAACCTAAATCTGTGTATTAGAAATGATTTTGTGTTTTTATTATTTTCCTATAAAATTTAATTTCTACCCTCAAACCAAAGCATTAAAAAAATCAGCAATCACGGAAAATTCCTTGCCTAAGTAAATTAGATATTTTCCATAAATTAAGTATTTGGTTTTATATGCCCCTCCCTTTTAAATAAATGATTTAGTATATTGCCATGGGAAGTGTTGCTCAGTGGGTTGGAACATTGTCCTGTACACGAAAAGGTTCTAGGTTTGATTCTCAGTCAGGACACTTAGCTAGGTTGCAGGTTTGTCCCTGGTTGGGGCTCATACAGAGGGCAACTGATCAATGTTTCTCTCTCCCATCAATGTTTCTCTCTGTCTCTCTTCATCTCTTTCTCCCTTCCCCTCTCTCTAAAAATCAATGAACATATCTTCGGGTAATGTAGTGTATTTATACTGAGTGGATACAATAAATCTAAGAAGTGATTATAATTTTATGAAATTTTATTGCTTTTCATTATCTGTTTTTCTCTTCTTGTTTATACTGTTATAGAAAACTTATGGTTATTCAAAATATTTTAGTGTTATTCTAACTAGTTTTGGTAGATGTATAGTATTTAATAGCATACTCATTCAACTTTTTACTATCAAACACATCCTTTTAGATAGATGAAAGAACATCACAGAAAATAGAAACTTCAAGAAAACTGATGCAAAAGGGAGAAATGATGCTTACTCATGTGATCTATGGAATATAAATTAGATTTTTATAAATTGAAATAATTTTGATTCTTATATACATCAAGACTAGATTCATATGACAAGTGACATTTTACATGTAAAGCAAGCCCTTTTATTATATTTTCTCTTTTAAAAGTATGACTCATGTCTGACCTACAAACTCAGCCTAATTAAATGATAGTTGGGTTAATGTCTATTAAAAAACAACAACAATAAAAAACAACAAGCTCTTCTCTTCAGAAACCCACCCTATGGTTTAAACTGATATT